GTCATAATTGGTTCTGATTACTTTTGGTGCTTGATTATCTATTGGTTTAATCTTTGATAATTGTTGTTTGTTGTTCTTAGGTGCATAAGGATTCAATCTTGAAGGCGTTGATCTCTCTGATATATCTTTTTGTGGCTTCAGTCAACTCATTTGCATACAGCCTTTGGACTCAGTATTGATTCTGGCCCTTTACTGTTTGGTGTGAATTCCTTGCACCCTTAGGTGATTTCTAACCTTGACCTTGAATCTGACTGTAGTTTTTGCATCTCTTGAGATTTGTGGCAAGTTAGTTATTGTGGTTGTTTATTACTATAATTGTGGATCTTGTTTGACAGCTTGTCATGTTACATTGTGTTAGAATTGCATTTATCCCTCAGATTGAGCGTTTTAGATCTTTGCGTCCATGCTTAGTTGCATGCCTCTAATTGTTATCTAGGATTTCATTTTCTTGATTGTTTGATCCATTTGCATTAGTGATTTCTCACGTCCTATCTTGTGTCAAGTCAACCTCACTATCAACTAGAAGCTTCCTCATCAATCTTGACAACTTCATTCTAGAAACCCCTCTCAAAAACGAAGTTAAACACCTTCCTTCTTTTGTGGATCAACAGTTAAGTAAAAGCGCTAGATACTTCCTTTGTTTAGGTTAAGTTACAACTTTACCTCCACTTGATATACACCCGGATATTAGAGAGACTGCTGATCTTCCTCTGATAGGTTTTGGTAGCTTCAGTAACTGTGTTAAAGCAGCCTGTTGATAATTACTTAAACTTTACTTAGGTCCATCTCGTATAACATGATATCTAATTATTATCTTATTTGCCACTATAATTTGCACCTATGTGACATGGTTTACTTCTGTGCTTGTCTCTTGTGCTACTAATCGCAGAAATTGCATTGCTGCTGCTTTTAGGATTTGTAGGTAACTAGGCACCATGTCAAAACCTTGCACCAAGTTACTTGTGTTGTTGTGTTTGAAAGGAGAAGGCTACTTACCAGTTTCAGACGTAAAAGCAATCAGTCTAAAAATAGAAAGAGACGTATGATGATTATGCAGTATCAATGGATCAAGAATCATAAACTGACGGATGAATTGTGTTTGTGACCAGGGTATTTATCTTCTTGGGTTAACAAAGCATAAAAAATACATGAACTGATTAATAAGAAAAGGGAATCCACAATGATACTGAAGGATTAAATAAATAGTATCATATTAGAACTGAAAAGTGTATAGTACATAATCTTCAATCCAGTAATCTATGGACGCACAAAAAGGAATAAAAGTGAAGGGAAATATCCAAATTTGCTGCAGCAAGAAAATAGTGTTTTATTTTCATAGATACCTTGGTTATGTGAAGATGAAACTAGTACACCGTGAATGAACACCTTCAAACCTTGCAGCTATCGAAGAGATGACTCTGACTCTCTTGTGACGCTTCTCACCTCAGGTTTTCTCTGAGTCCCTACGAGTATTATAAGTATTATTGGCACTTCCAGATTTCTTTTCTTGAGAGCTATGCTCTTGTTCCAATTCCTCCATCCAAGACTGAAGCAGAGTTTACTTTCCAGAAACCCAAGCTTGAATCATCTCCTCAGTCTTAGGTTCAGGATCGAAACCCTTGGCCTTCATTTCCTCATAAAACTTAAAAGCATCTTCCAATTTCCCATTCAAAAATAAACCATGTATTAGTACAATATACGCACTTCGATCTGGGCTTACACCACTCTCTCGCATATCATCCCATAACTTAAACACACTCTCGAACTGCCTCCACCGACTCAGTTTCCTTATCAACATAATATAGGTTTCACTCACAGGCTTACATCCTGCTTGTTTCATTTGATTCAAAAGATCAAATATCTCATCCACAGTTGTAAACACATCAAAGAAAGCATGATAAGTCCTTGTAGAAGGAAAAAGGCCCCTATTCAACATTTCATCAAAGACCAAGCGCGCTTCATCCAATCGCCGTGCTTTACAAAGGGGCCTTATCAAAGAGTTATATGTGATTGAATTCGGAGTAACACCTTTCTCTTCCATCGTTTTCAAGAGATTCTTTGCTTCGTTGATGCACTTCCCTTTAGCAAGAGAGTAGACCAGGGCATTGTACACTTTTATATCTGGAACAATGCCTAGTTCTTTCATCTGATTGAAGAGCTTCAAAACATCATTAAGGTTACTAGCTTTCGAGTAGCATGAGATCATACTACCGTAAGACACAACATCCTTATCAACTCCTCTATTCCCCATCTCCCTCCAAAACCTCTTAGCCTCACGAACATAAACCAACACATTGCACCAACCATTAAGAACGATGTTAAAGCTCTTTGTTTCGAAAGGAAATGTGCTCTCATTACACAAAAGCAAATGCTCAGCATCCGTCACATTCTTGTACCTGCATAACGCACTCAAAAGCCCATGAAACTCATTGATCCCGAGCTTGAACCCATACTTCTTGAAGGCATAAAACACATTAATAGCCTTAGCAACCTCATGAATCGCACAATACTTCCTAATCAAAATCAAAAGTGTCTGTGGGGTCACCAACGACTTCCTCGTCATTTCATCGACTAATGACCATGCAGTATCAAAGCGCTTCATCTTTCCAAGAATCATGATCATAATATGATAACTATGGACTGAATGTGAAAAATCGGGTTGCTTTCCTGCCCAGAGGAAGAAAGTAAACGCCGGGCCCCACTCATTACGCAGACGAGAAAGCACCTCATAAACCAATTCCTGCGACACAGGCACGCTGCAGTTTTCGAGCCTGTACTTTGCTTGGGCAGCATCAGAGTCAAAATTTCGAAGGGAGGCCATTACAATGTCAACGTTTCCTAGTACTTTCGGGTCTAATTTCTTGATGGGTCTACTGTGTATGGTGAAACTATCATTGTTGTCATCCTCTTCGGCCGCGGGATCGATTTCTCGGTCTGTGGGAGGATAGGAAGAGAAGGGTTTGGAGACAAAGAGGGTGGGAGGAGATACAAAGAGCGGAGGCTTGTAAATAAGTACAGAGTTTGGGTAACAGAGGTTTTGGGAATGGAGGAGAGAGGACATTGAAGGGATAGCAGCTCGTTTGAAGATCCTCCTCAACATGATCGTGGCTAACAGCGATACAGGCTAAGCAACAACCAGTGTTCGATATAGAAACTGAGTTATTAAGGAATGAGAATAAGAGGGGAGAAGTCGTACCTTGAGAGAGCAGTATTGCGCGAGCTCAGTGAAGTTTGAAAGTTGTCGAGTTTGAGAGAGGAGGAAGAAGATGGATTTTGGTGGTAGGGTTTTCCGAGAGGATGTGATAGGGTGTCCGGGTTCATTTGGAGGCTCTGCGCGAGACCCGATCCAAACTATCTGTATTCACAGGTCTTCTCGATCCCGACTCCTTTTTTCCCCCGCGGATATTAGCTCCTCAAGCCCTACATATTTTGACCGTAGTCCCTCGAATTGTATTGATCTGTTGATATGAATCTCTCTATTAGTTTTATATCATTCAAAACCCTCAGCCGTGTTAGGGTTAGACTAACTATAGATGGTTGATTCCCCCCCAAAAAAAAATCAAAACCCTTCATCTCCCCCTGTTCCTAGCATCATAGGTCACAAAGTCGCATGTCATCAGGATGCAAACCACAATATTATTATTTATAGTTCAATTTGATCACTAGGTGTATGTGATGTTATATACCTTGAATATTGTGGAGAAACTTAGAAGAATCCAGTTTTTCTGTCATAAGTCGACTCATGCACAGGCATAAGTCGACTTATGGTAAGTCGACTTGTGTCTGTGCACGAGTCGACTTACATTCTGTTCTGGAATTGTTGGTTTTGGTCACTGGCAAGTCGACTTATCAGGACTGTTAAGTCGACTTACGTTCTGTTCTCCAGTTGTTGATTTTCGCTCTGCCAAGTCGGCTTATGAAGCCTGTTAAGTCGACTTTGGTTTCCTATTTAGTTTGGGTTTTTGTTTTGATATAAGTAGGAATATGATTATCTAGGATTAATTAGTCAGAGATTTGATATTGTACTGAGCACATTGAGAGGGAGAACTTGTGAGAAAGTTGAGAGATTTGGTTTAGGGTTTATTTGAGTGATTTTATGAGATTGTAACCCTTTGTACTCTGCTTGATTTAGTAGAATCTCCCCATCCTTTCCCCATAGACTTAGGCAAATTACTGAACCACATATATCTCTGTATTTGGTTTGATTTGTCGTCTTTTATATTGGCTTGTGCTCGGATTTGGTTTGGTAATCTTCTCTCGTGACTCGTGAACTCGTTTAGTTGTCGAGCACGCTTCCGCAAAGGCGCGTAACACTTGGTATCAGAGCCCAGATTTTAGATCTAAGGTTTTAGCATTAGGTAGAGGAAGATTCGTCGTGGAAGCTTGGTTCTTGAAGTTCTAGGCTTCGGTGGAGATAGTGTTTGGTGTTGCCGTTGAAGATTTTGCTTTCCTTATGTAGGTAGGAGATCTATTTTGGAATCCGTTCTTGGGTTCAATTAGGTAATTTCTAAATTCTATTAAGTTTGAATTTATCTTTATAATTTGGAGCTTGTGAGTATGAGTGAAGAAGTTAGTGAAAGCAGCAAGATGGTGGATACAGTTCAAGTTGATTTTCAGAACACTAAAATTAGTGTGGTTTAATATGACGGCAAGATCAAATTTTGGGTTGTGGATGAGCGATGTTCAGGATGCGCTCAATGCTCAAAATTTGGAGGAGACCATCATGGTCCATGAGATGCCACCAAAATATGAAGAGGCGGTATAAAAAAAGATAAATAGGAACGATTGTGGGGTGTTTAGGTCTTGTCTGGAACAGTAGCTCAAATATGATGTGATTAGGGTGACGTCTGCAATAAAGATGTGGGAATTTTAACAAGTTGTAGACGGTAAAAAATACCTCTCTATGGGTTTACAAGAAATTCGCCTACGAGAAGAGCTCGCACGCTCAGTTCTCTAGCACGGGCCTAAATCGCGTAGATGTCGGGTATACTCGGTTCCAGGTTCGCCTAACGGTCAGTTCGCCAACACGAGTTAAGATCGATCAGGATGACGAAAGTTCACCTTTCACTCAACTCGCCTGCCCGAGTTCAGAGTTGAATCCGCCAGCAAGCCCCAAGACCGTCAGTACAACTGGGTATCCGCTACCCCACGTGCTGAGATGGGCCTTCCCATCCCTCTCTCTCAAGGGAGAGAGCACAGTACCCCAAGACCGTCAAACGGCCGCTCGCAGTACGCACAGCGCGAAGGACTGGACAGGTGTCGAGTCAACCTGAGCATTCATAAATGCGACTCAACTCAGCTGTCTGGATCAAGAGCTGGATCCGCCGGCACTCGGCAAGTTGGTTAGACCCACTCGAGTACTGTGCACCTACTTCTCCGTCTCTCCTGACCGGAAAGGAGAAAGCACCGTGCCCAAAGCACGCCGGGCGGTCACGCACAGTACGAGCGATCGGACAGACGCCTCATCGATCCGCGAACTCATAAATGCAGTTCATTAATGCTGGTCAAATCCACTCGGATAGCAGACGGCCGTTGCCTCATATACAAGGATGGGCCTTCCCATTTTAGGTGACAGGACATAAAGCACAATCCCTCGAATGACCATTCATGGTATCGAGGAGCAGCTAGACGTCTCTGAAGAAGATGTGGTCACATCCCACGATTCAAGGAGGAGTCAAGCTGTCCTTCTTTCATTTAAAAGCCCCTTCCAGAACGATGGAGGAGAGAGGTCGCAAAACTCTGATACAAAAAAAAAGAGTTGAGACCAAGCTGTTAGCACATCCTTGCATTACAGCGCCGCTGCCTAGTTCCGAGCTCCGATCGCCGACGAACTAAGCAGACCCGAACTCTATTACCCTGAGCTTCTACTGCGAACTGAAGCTCTCCAGCAACCTCGATCGAACGGTCCTTGATGAGGTTGCTGTCGGGACGACAGTGGAGTCCCTAGAAATCGAGTTCGACCAGGCCAAGTACGAAGAGTACTTGTCTTCCTCCTCCTCTGGTGGCGATGCGTCCCGCAAACGCCACAGAGCTGTGCGCCGAGGCCGACCTCAGACGGTCAAAGCCTCTACGCCTGAAGGTTCCACCCGAGTTTCGTCGGGGGAACCCACATCCTCGCAATCGATCAAGGCCAACCCAGAGATCGAACGCAAGGGACAAGGGTCTGCCAAATGGGTCGCCAAGCGATCCCCGCAGACACTTACCCCGAAGGGGACGTCGGTTCACTCCGGCACAAACAACACTGCCACTACCTATAGTGATGCTCCCCTTGATAGGAGAGCTAACCAACAGCAGCGGCGAACGCCCGTCAGACAGGGGGTCCAAACCTGCGTTTCTCATAATAGCCTGAACCATCATACAGGCCCGAGAAACGCTAGACGGGAAGGCAAACTGCCCGACGTCGAAGGCCCTCCAAATCAGGAGCGCCAACCGAGGACGGCAAAGCCATCCGCTCAGGAGGAATTCGCTTCTCAGGTCACATCCCTGATGCGAATAGATCTCCTCGCGCGAGCAAGCCTACCCAAGTAGGCGAGTCCTCGAAGGCTGGCGAGTCTCGCCATAATCACTTGGCGAATAAATGTAAAGGTAGAGGGGTAGGCGACTCCTCACGAACCCGCCCTTCCAAACGAAGGGTTGAAACCCGCCTGAGTACTGGAGCTCGCTCAAACGCGAAGACTCGCCATTCAAGGCGAGATCGCCCAACTCTAACACCAAGGCGTTCCACCCAACGCGCACCAGAGAGAGCGCCCAAAAATCTCTCGTCAGCTCACCAGAGCGATTCTTCTGAGGCCGGGGGTTGTCACCAACCACCCGTAGAAGACCTCAGAGAATTCTTGACTCGCAAACGCACTATTCACGAAGCGGACCCTCAGTGTCATTGCGAGAGACTCATCCACACGGTCCTCGCTGACTGCCAATGCGTAGGAACGGCGAAACCTTCGGTGTTTGAGAGGCTTTCTCAACAGTCCTCTCGACCAAGGCCCTCCCGTCGAAGGCGCCGTCACCAGAAAAGACGCGCTGCTGACGACCTGGAGTTCTCATCCGCCACAGTCAACATGACGGATAAGGGGAAGGCGGTACTCTCCGACTCGCCAGACTCGGACTCCGTCTTAAGACCTAATACCCGGTCCGCTCGACGCCGGCAGGAAGGCATATTCCAGCGAACCCGTAGTCGCAGGGGAGTGAGTATCGGGTTTGACTATTCCACCCTGGTACCTCCCTCCTGCGGCGAAGACGAAGCACATCCCAGACCTCGCGCTCAAGTCAAGACGCGCAGGCGAGAGTACACATGACCGGACTCGATACCGAACAGACAATGGCCCAAAAGCTGGAGGAACAGCAGGCGACCATCGACTCTCTGAGAGAGATGATGGAGCAACTGCTGAACAAGAAGAAGAAGAAGAAGAAGAGGACCCAACGTCCCTTGCCCCGGCAAACTAGGGATAAGGAATGGGTACCACCTCACCGTCCAGCGGCTGAGACGGAGGATGATCGACAGTCCGATTATTCCTCCAAAACATCGATAGGAACGTCGCACACCGCGGATAGCACCCGTGACAAAAGATTCGACGAGTTCCAGGACCAGCTGAACGCGCTGAAGCTTCAGCAAAATATGAACAAGCTGGGGGTGGTACGTCCCTACCCTATCGAATGGGACACGGTCCCATACCCGGCGAAGTTCAAACCAATCAGTTTGGTGCAGTTCGATGGCAAGGGGTCACCCTCGCAACACATCTACTATTTCATGGCGCAAACTGGGTTCCTAACCGGGAATGACGCCATTCTCACTCGACTGTTCATAGGTACCCTCAAGGGGGTGGCCTTTGAGTGGTTCCGCAAACTGGAGCCTGGCTCCATCAAGGCATGGGCCGACGTCGAAAAGCTCTTCCTCGCCCGCTTCTTCGACGATGACACAGAAGTGTCAATGGCTACCCTCCTTGCTGAGAAGCAGCGGAAGTCGGAGTCGGTCAATGACTTCGTGAAGAAGTCGGAGTCGGTTAATGACTTCGTAAAGAGATTTCAAAACCGATCAGTCCACTGTCGGGACCAAGTTTTCGAGGCGACGCTGATTGAGATGTGCCGTAACAATCTGTCGATCCATATCCTGTCCAAAATAGGGGCAGTAGAGACCCGGACTTGGAAGGAACTTGTTCGTCAAGGCGAGCAAGTTGAAAATATGATCAAGAGGCTGGAGGCCGAAGAGCCGCAGTCCAAAAAGGGAGCAGCAGAGCCGGCTGCGCCAAAGAACCCTCCTCGGTCGAGAGGAAAAGAAATCATGGCGGGCGAGGTCGACTCCGCCCCGGCACCAAAGGCTGCTCAAAAGCCTAAACCCAGGCAGTTTGAGCCACGCCCCCAGCGGCAATATGATTTTAAATAAGACCAGGTGATGGCGACTGTCGACACTCTACTCAAGAGTGGGCGAATTAAGCTGCCGGAAGCCGTCAAGCCTGAGGAGGCG